TCTTCTCAAAAAAGCCGCTGTACCTGCGGGTACTCAACCGAGTACTTCGCAATAAGCGTTTTCTTTCCAAAACTCAAACGACTCCTGTGCAACCGCAGCTGCATCCTCATCGCCCTCCCTAATAAACGCCTTCCGCAAGCCCAAAAACAACGCCTCGAACCCCCGCTGGTCGGCCGTCCAGCTATCGCCTAGGGAGTACAGAAAGCGCCGCAGCCGCCGGCCGTTCAGCACAATGTCGGCCATGTCAGGCCTGCCGCGGCGGCGGTAAATGTCGGCAAACTCGAGCTCGGCGGGGGAGAGGGCGTTGTCGCCGCCGACGAAGCTGCGGGTGGGCCAGAGCATGGGCGGGGAGCTGAAGGCGAGTTCCTTGGATTTGATCGAGGAAGAGGACCAGTCGATGATGGCGGTGATGTTGCCGTCGTCGTCGACCATGATGTGGTCGTCTGTTTCGCAGAAGTGCTTGAGGTAGAAGGGCCCGCCTTCGCGGCTGTTTGTCGAGGCGACGAGGTCTGGGATCGTGTGGAGGCGCCAGAGGTAGGAGAGGAAGTGGCCGAGGGAGAGGTGGGCGAATTCGCCGTCCGTGATGATGTCTAGTTGTAGGTGCATGATGGCTCGTAGGGAGGCGTTGAGGCTTGAGAAGGGGCCGATTGGTGTTCGCGAGTCGCGGAACAGGGGCAGCTGTGCGTAGCCGCCTATGTTCACTTCGCCGTCATCTGACGGGACGATGGACCCGGTCATCTCGAATGAATAGCGTTCTAGCTCTAGTGAGATATCCACCAGCTGCTCCATGATCTTCGTCTGCCTTGACTTGCTCACTTTGTCCCACTGCAGCTTCCGTCCGCCCATCTTCTCCAGAAGGACGAATGATGCGCCGACATGGCTATCTGGGGAATCAGCCCAGCTGTAGTAGTATACCCCGGGGGCAGGCACGGCAGTTTTCTCGAGGAATTTTAGCGTGAACACCTCGCTGAGGAAGATATATTTCTGCACGGGAAGGGGTGGAAAAGCGTCATTCCTCAGCCGTATCCGCGCATCCCACACCACGCCGTCTTGGAAATTTATATCAACGTGGAAATCAGTAATGGTCATATGTTTCGACAGGAGTCTCCACTGCGTGTCTCTGTCGGCGGTGAGAACCGGGATTGAGCAGGGGACACCACGGCGAAGATTACTCGCCAAGGAAGTGAGGGCGAAGCCATCGAGATGGTCCAGGGCCGTGAACAGATGGGCACGCTGGGAAGCGGCATAAGCCTCGCGGTATGTATCCGGGTCGGTATCCTTTATCAACGAAGTATATTTTAATTTTCAAGTTAGCGGGGCAAGCTCCTGTTTCGGTAAAAAGAAGTTTTTATGTGGTAAATAAAATAAACAACCCGCTTGGCAAGCCAAAACGCGAAACACAACAAGGGAAAAAAAAGAAAAAAAGAAAAAGAAAAAGAAAAAGAAAAAGAAAAAGAAAAAGAAAAAGAAAAAGAAAAAGGGGACAGGGTGTAACTAGGCTGGTCTTGCCTCCGAAAGACATTTGTGAGAAGCTGACTTGATGTGGGCGCCGCAATGGTTCTTGGAGCAGATCAGACAGCCGCCATGTTTGCGGGCAGCCGACTTGGAGCAGCCGTTCACGTCGCAACCTCTGAGAGGCATAATATATATAATAGCCGCAGTGAACTACATATATAGGGACCTCCCAGGGCCGGTGGAGAGGGCAGAAGTCGGTAGCTGTAAGGACTGGAAGACTGAAGGTGTAATCTGTCAGTGGGCTGGAGGTGGTAGTAGTAGGTAGGTAGTTAGTTAGTTAGTTGGTTGTTGCGTGTCTTGTCTGTATGATGGGTTGTGTGGGAGTGAGTGTGGCTGTTCTCGTCGTTCTTCTGTGGTTTATGTGAGTGTAAGTTGGGGTGGAAGAAGAGAAAGAAGAAACAAAAATAATAATAGAAATAATAATAGAAATAATAATAGAAAATAATAGAAAAATAAAAGAAAAGAAAAGAAAAGAAAAGAAAAGAAAAGAAAATAGAGAAAATACAGGAACAAAAAGGTTGCAGCCTTGACAAAACAAACAGCCAGCTCAACAGCAGTATTAACAGCAGCAGCAAAGAGCGGGATAAAACCGACTAATAAATCCCAGGAGCCAGGAAACCACTTGGACCAAGCAGGAAATAGTCTAAGTAGAGTAGTTTCATTAATTAAATAATTCACAGTATTAGTTAAATAACTAGTTATGGAACTAAACTACTGTGCAAGTTAGCCAGAAGTAACTACTTATTATTATTTAATAATATTATTATTAGTTTAGTTAACTGTCCAGTTAAATAACCAACTAGTGGTGAGTTATTTATTTAGCTGCAAGATTTCCTCTAACTCCTGCGGTGTGTGCAAATAATAATAATAATTAGACTGCACAAGGGATGTTAGGCTCATCACCCCGTCATCCAGCCAGGCAGAAAACAAGGGAATCTTTTCTGAATATTAACTAACTATTGTAGACAAGAACCTCACGGAGCTTTAACTACAGCTTGCTTAGTTACACTTACACTCGCAAGCTAGGCAGGAAAATCCTGATTATTGATTATCGAAGGGGGAAAAGAACGGGTAGATAGATCTGTTATGCTATCAAGTTAAATTTAAGAATTACTATATATAACTATATATACCTAGGAAGAGGAGGAGAAGAAAGAAGCGCACAACATTGGCCCGGATGACTTGCAAAGCAAACAAAATGATTTGAGGTGATATCATCATCATTAAGTTATATCATCGATATAACCTTCCCCCTCGTCACAAAAATAACTTTGGTGCCTTGAAGTAAATTTTGAAGGCAGGAGAGACAGACCCATTTTGATTTGATATTCAAAGAGTTTTCAATGTTTTCATGATGTCAGTCAGTAACTAAGTTACTCCCTCCGTAGTTATTCGATGCTCGGACTATTTTGAAATCTACAGGGCGTTCATTCCAACGCAGCAGATTTCAATAATAACTATAAGCGATTGAGAATAATATTCTCGAAATAAATGGTCTCTCTCCGTCATGTTTCCGCGGGTGAATCAATGGATCACGGAGGGATTTCTCAATTCAAATTCAGGGCTTATCATCTTGTTTTGATTGGAATAATAACAAGCATCAAATGCTCGCTTTCGCTCGCTTTTCTGCTTGCGCAGCCCCCTCTACCC